TAATTAATTTTTTATTCATCGTGCAATTTCAATATATGGCGAAACCTTAATTGGTAATTTGTGTGTTCTTTATTCTAATTGATAGCCACATGGCCTTGAAATTTTAATGAATACTGTGGGTTTACAACATTGTATTTTTTTGTGCTCGTTGCAGTTCGTTTCTTTTCTTACATCGGTGGTAGATATGCAATACAAACATAAGATTAAGGAAGGAGATGATGGGGGTTAGGTTAATCTTATTTATTGCAGAAACTAAGAGCTAAGTCCCATACTCGAATTATATCACAAGACTAATATTTACTATTTGATACTATTGTGTTATCCCCAATTCTGTCATAGAGAAAACTGATTTCAAGATTCGAAATATAGCAAGAACTAACAAGCATATTTTTGTAATGGATAACTATAAGAGTATCCAATAGAAGACGTTTTTTTTTCGTATCACTAATGAAGTATAAAATTACTTTTCGAAATTCGAATAATATTTATTCACGAAAAAGCTCGATTAATGAGTCATTTTCCATTGTCAATAGTTCGAAGGAAGCTAATTTTCTTTGCCGTTCAAACTCACACCTTTACTATCGAAGCGTATGTTTCTTTTGTCCATTACTAGTATGAGATTCATTTCATACAGACGAATCAATTAGATTATTATTAACTTCACTAACCATAATATAAATACCTTAATACTACGTATAACTGATGAACTAGCTTTGCATCGATTGAAGTCAGACTAGTTTGATATACGTACATATGCATAAAAATGCGCAATAAGGTAATAAAAATAAAAATTTCAAATTTATTGTTCAAAATCCAATTCGATCGAATGTTTTCTTGTATCACAATGTTGAGTAAATACGGTTTCATTTCAATAACCACAGATTTTAGATTTCTGTACGTCAACGTGTTCAATAATAAATGAGATTTGTGTATTGGTTGAAATTCTTGACCCAATCCTTTTGAATTTATAAACCAAAATTTGGTTGTTTTAGAACAAAATCATTTATTGGATAATGCATTATAGAAGACCTTTAAAGTATATTGTCTTTCTATAATTTCATAAAACGTTCAATTTGATCATAGCAAATCTATGAAAAAATCTTTTACTATTATTAATGCTAGGGCTAGCTATCTCAAAACATGTATATAGTGTAGGCAAAATTCGAATTCGAATATAGATCAAGTCATAGAATAAAAACCTGAAAAGAATAACTATCTTTTTCATTCAACAATCACCTACATTCGTTTTTCTTAAAATGAACACATCCACTGAATTCTGCAGGCTCACGTAAATCGTCACTATACATATATAGCTTATTGCATACTAAGGCATTATTATTCGTTTTTTTTAGTTTACAATTGAAAAATCCTATCAACTAATCCCTTTAAAAGCTAATTACAAATTCAAAAATGGCCGCAAAATTCGTCGATATTGAGGAACTAGATGATGTACAACGTTTTTCCGATATACCGGAAGAATCTTGCCAAATGTTGATGCCTATTGAAGGCTATGAGAAAAAAGCCTCTTGTTACACTAGAAGAGGCTGTGGAACCTATTGTTACATATGTACCTGACGTATAACGAAAGGTTTACATTGCGAAAATGAAATGTGCGGAATTGTCACCGGGAAACCTATCCATTGATGAAGCAGCCTCAAGAAATCTCTACTCAATGGAGTGGGAGCCACAAGATGGCACGAATATCCAGAAGGAAAGACATTTGGTTGGTGGGTATTCAGTTCTTGTGCGGCCAAGATCAATGCGCTGCAGAATGAATTATTTTTGGGCACGGCAGGTTCAATAACTTGCTTTATGATTGAATGGGATAATGGCAAAGATATTCGAACATATTCTTGTTTTCAAGCTGCAAGACAATTTAAAGTGGTGGCATGTCTCAGCCAAGGCAAAGATCTTTATATGATACAGCTCAGAGAAATTCAGACACAATATCCACTGATTGAACTTGTACCAAAAGTAAGCATTAGTATTGATAAGAAATTTGTAAATACATATGAATGTGTTGCGTTCTCCTAGAGAGACATGGCCCTATTCTAAAATTCTACAATACTATGTATACAAATATCAAATCACTTCATATATATTTAGTCCAGAATTCTAGAATTTTAGAATAGGGCCACTGCTGATTTTTCTATAGATAACTCCAAAAGATGATTTGAAATGGATGAAAACTATGAGATGTGTTCTGTCCTGAATCACAAAAAGAAAATATTATGCTTGTTGTAAAATTCTTAGTCTATGGGAATAAAGAATATACTAAATGATAAGAAGATATACGTCGATAGTAATCTTTTTATCAATAGAAGATTATGCTAAGTCACTTAGTTGGGCAAACTGTTTTTTTCCTAATATCACTGAAACTCGAAGAAAGTAAGAAATAAAAAAAACGCAATTATCTCTTTGATCTTACAGAAATAAATCGAAGCAAACTTTCACTTACTTTCGTATTTTATCCTGTTTTATATTGATTTCAGTGTCTCCACTGCGAGGCAGTTCAATAGATATTCATCCAAATACTCGATGGCAACAGAATGGTCTCACTGTAGCTGGAGGAAATGGACAGGGAAGTGGGGCTCATTAATTGTTTCGCCCAAGAGATGTGATTGTTGACGAAGAGAAAGATAGTCTCATCATATCCGCTCGTTCAAATGAAAGAGTGGTTCGATGGCCTCGCCGGAGTGGAGAAAGCGGAGAAACGATCATCTCAAACATCAATTGTGTGGGCTTGACAATGAAGGAGAATGAATTTTTCTACCTTAGTGATTTTGAAAAAGATGAAGACGATATCAAAGAGAAGAATCTAAAGGAGCAGTGATTGCAGGTGGCAATGGAAGCGGAAATCGTCTCGATCAACTCTCTGGTCCATATTACTTATTTGTCGATAGCGACCATTTAGTGTACATATCGGACTCGGAAGATCATCGTGTGATAAAATGGATGGAAGGAGAAAAACAGGGCATTGTCGTGGTAGGTGGCCAAGGACAAGGAAATGATCTTACACAATAGGTATACCCTAATGGAGTCATTGTCGATCAATTGGGTACTGTCTATGTGTCTGACGGATGAAATAATCGAATCATACGTTGACTCAAAGGGGCCACACAGGGAAGTGTCATTGTTGGTGGAAACGGTCGAGGAGAACAATCGAACCAACTCAATGAGATCATCGGTTTGTCATTCGACCGGCTTGGTAATCTCTACGTAGCTGATTTTGGAAATCATCGAGCACAAAAATTCAGCATCGATTTTAATGCCTAAAGACTCTCTTAGTTTATTTTGTGTGCATTTCATTCATTAATCATAGTCATATTTTATTGTATTTTTGATGGTCTAATTTCAAAAAATTTAAGATTTCAAAAAATTATTAAAAAGAAAGCAGATGATACCACGCTGAATTTCTTGAAACAAAATAGTTAGAAACTGTTAGACTGCGTAACAAACTTTTTAAAAAATTAGAATGCTTTATAGAGTTATAGTAATTCATGTATGATTCAGATTCCGACCTAACACCAATGCTCATATCTTTTGGAAATTCTTTGCTTTTTAATTTCTAGAATATCCTTGTGTTGTATTTATCTCACTATTTAGAAATTCGAATGGATATACTTTTTATCCCTGTCATGTCGTCAGAGTTCCATGATTCGTGTCAAATACCAATAATATCAGATCGTTTTTTTTTCAACTTTATTCCTGAAAATATTCCAGTGAAAATCTCATATGACTTAATTATAATAATAGATATATCATATAATAGCGCATGATATTCATCTAATTGTAAATATTCTCTTCTGTTTTTTTTATTTTATTGAAAGTCAATTTGTATGACATTTATCAGTATTGTGTTTTTTATTTATTGAAAAAATACAATTTGGGTATGATAGAAGCTTCACACCCACACCCACACCCACACCCACTCCGGAGGGACGCCGACGAACGACTAGCCGCCCCCACTAGTTAAAAATCTGTTGTGATTATAAGACTACAGGCCTTGCTGACTTATAGAATAGTTACACCCTCGTCTCGATCAGGAAAGTTGAAACAATTTTCGAAAATAGGAGGTATTTTGAATTTCTTCCGAAGACAGGTCGTGAAATAATTGCTCAAGTTGTGTGAAATATTTGTCGTGATTATCTTAATAAGTTTAGTTTTCCCTGGTTGCAAGTGGATTTGATTTAAAAGATGTAAATATCAGATTGATCTAACCGAAATCGAGTTAGAAAAAGTCAGTTTGATGTAATCTCTGATCTACTCGTGCAGATTCATGTTAAATATCTAGTTGGTAGACCAATTTGAGTTGTAACTTTACTGAAATGGAGTATTTCGATCATAGCTCTCCTGAATGGATCTTTTGCTTCACTCTGCTATCAAGCTGATTGAAAGTTTTTGGAAGCATAGCTTCAGCTGTAGCAGATCGGATGCACTTAAATTCACTATCACCATAAAGTATTAGTAAGTAGTAATTAAATGCCGTTTTCTTGGTGATAATGCCAAGCAAGTTTTCTATTTATGCTCGGTTATCAATCTTGTTTTCCATGAAAATCATTTCGAAGCTATAAAATGTGAAGTCTCTCAGCTAGATAGTTTTGGATAGCTACGTTCCACAAGACTAAATCCTTTCAGTAGAGGGTTGGCGACGCTAACGTCGCGTTACGTTGTTTATTTTTACATGGGATATAGTAGCGCTTGTTAGAAATTCTGTGTTGATAAAAACATGAAACCGTTGTGAAGAACGATATTTTTATCTAGATATTTCGAAAACCGCGGTAAACCTGAACCGCTGCTATCTATACAAAAACGATGACATGGGAATCATCTGCAACAATCTAGCTGATATATAGCGCCCTCTGTTGATACGATCTGTGATAGTTGCATCCTTTGCATAATGAGTCTTTATCTTTAACTGAGAGAAACATTTAAAAGCGCATCTCTCTTCATTTTATTGTTTAATACCACCGACTTAATTTTTCCATTTCATCAAAACCATGTGTCGTTCAAAGGTTTGAAAAATTTTCCTACACTATTTTTTGAAAACAATATAGAAAAACTTTTAGTCTTACATGATCTTTATTCATTAGAAAGAAAGAAAGAAAGAGAAGTAGTTTATCTTTATTTAATAAACAGAAACAGAATACCTTCCACCTATTTCACACGTTACATTTTCAGATCATTTATATATTTTTTCATTCACATATGGTAAACGTTTCGCTATGTTTGAAAAAAATGCCCGCATGATATAAAAAATTATGTTCAGTTCTTTTGTCTGCTTTTCTCCACCATATTTATGTTTTAGGATAACCAAAATCTAACGACTCCTGATTTAATTCGCATCGATCACATAATAAGCCAAAATATACAGCTACGAGAACGAGTACGCCGACTAGAAATACGTGAAGTCGCTAATAACTTCGTTCGAATTCAATTGGAAAGAGAAATTATGGAGGTATGTTGCAAACATAATTAATATATATTTATATTTCTATATTTTTGTTTAGTTACGAGCTGAATTACGAGAGAAAAAAATGGTGCCAAATTTAGTTGTGGTATGTGTACAGATCCCATTGGGATACATCAATAAAATATTTTTTCCTTTTCATTACTACTACTAGGTATCGTGTGTGATCATTTTACTAGGTGTACATGTATACGCATATTTTTCCAGGTAAAATAATTATTCATCAGATGATGTATATTCTCCTCTGTAAGCGATACTTTATTGTCTTTCATTCAAATGCATTTGTCAAGCAAATAACTACTGAAATATGACGATCGAAATAAAATTATCTTTAATTCATGCTTTATATTGAATTAAATCATCACTTTGGGATCCTCTCGATTGGCCCCCCTTACCAATTAACTCAACTGGCCCCCTATTAATTGACTCTCAATTCATCCCTGTCCAGAAACAATTAGAAACAAATATAAGAATAATAGTCATCAATAAGGAAATTGATTGTTGCGTAGAGCACTCTGTGTATATATATATATATATGATGTGCTTTCTTAGTAGTGTATTAGTTTTACTACTGACATTCTCTATGCTCTGAGAAATGCTACTATTCACATCTTCGAATCGCGATCAACCTATACTCAATTACAATTCTCATCAATACACAAAGAAGTGTGTGCAAAAGACGAGCAACGAGTGGCGTTGTCGAGATCGTGGCTGTACTAGCACGATTTCTCTTTGTACAGTCGATGCAAAAGTTCTTCGTGAGCCCTCCACTCATACTTGTCAACAATCAGCTTCTGCCGGTAAATCTCTAGTCGACGACGCAGTTGGCAGTATGAAAAAACATGCACGAGAGGAGACCACGCCGATTCCCAAAATCTATACACAAGAACTCGTTAAAGCTCGTATCAGTCATCCCGGTATAGCAACTGGTCTATTCTTTCCTACATTTGAAAATATTGATGCTTCACTGTATCGAAGTCGATCGAAGAACTATCCATCGTTACCGAAGTCACTGGTCAATCTCGTTCTTCCAGACGTTTGACGATTTGCCAAGCACGGAGAACCGTTCTTGATGCCGGACAAGCTGTATGGAGAAGATCGGCTGTTTATGTTTGTATCAGACTGGAGCCTCATCTTTCTTTCTGAGTGCGAGCAGTGGCACTCAGATGGCACATTCAGCATTCCCCTCTCATTTTTGCCCAAGTCTACATTTTGTGTGGCTTCTCGAACGGCTTCATGATCCCGTGTGTATACTGTCTTACGACGAAGAAAGACGAGCAAGTTTACACGAAGATACTCGGTCACGTGATCTCGCTTGCTCGAAAGCTCAATCTCCAATCACGGTGACTCACGATTGACTTTGAGATCGCAACTATGAACTCTTTCTGTCGTCTCTTTTCTATAGCCTGTAACCGGCCGCCTTTTTCACTATGCTCAAAGTCTTTGGAGAAAAATTCAAGAACTCGATCTCACTCGTCATCTTTTGCCTTCTATAGACGAGTAGAACACTGACATATTTCACCGGAAGAGGAAAAACGCGCGGATCACTGGTTTCTTGCTGCTATTGGCCTCGCCTTGATTCCTCCTGAACTGGTTGAGCGTACTTGGACAGAAGTTATGGATAAATATACTCCCGAGCACACATCTGCAACCAAGTTCAATGATTACCTCGTTTCTACATACGTTGACAGCAGCTCTGCGCGCTATCACACAAAAATCTGGAATGTTCACGAATTGTTGGTCAATAAATTACCCCGCACGAATAACCACGTTGAGGGCCTTAATCGACGACTCAAAAGTCAGTTCCCTGTGCATCCGCACATCTTCAACTTTATCGAATTATTGCATGAAGAGCACGAATACCAGCATCATACGTCCGAAGAGTCGGGAGTTCACCTGTGCAAACGAAAGAAGGTGAATGATGAGATTGAAGAGAATCTTGAGCTCCTTCTTAATGACCATAAGGGTGGATTGATCACTGATATATAACTCACGATTAAACGCGGACGCGCTTTGAAGATAAAACTTGTTAAATGATTTTTGTTTTTTTTCTTGTTTCTTTTGTTGTTTTTCTTGTACCTTGTATTACTCTTGAATAGAACAGCTGATTGTCGAAAATCATCTGTTTATCAAATTAGTCACCAATAAATATTCTAAAGCAGAATTTTACTCAATGGAAAAAAAGAATCATAAATTGTATTTTTTTTTTGTTAAAAGTAACAATAAAACAAACTTGAATAGGAATATCATTTGATATTGAACAAATAAATGTTGCTGATTGTCCAACATAAGGAGAATGAACTGCTTTTTCTTCAATAATTTCAAGTGAACCTTTCAATTCTAGTCTAACCGTTCGATTAAACATTTCAAAATCTCAAATGATACACAGAATATATAGATTCCAATATGTTGATTTGATTGAACATAATCAATTTTAATTGAAGTTTCATTTATTTGAATAATGCTTTGATTAAATTATCAACTAATTAACGACGGTGGAGATGATTCAACAGTAAAATCAATTTCAATTGCCTCTTCTGTAGCTAAAACAGCTGAAGAATTTTTTAGTTGATTTACATATTTATCATGAAAAATTGGTTTATCTACAAAAAACATTTATAGAAAAATAAAACGAATATTATTGTTGGAATAATTAAAAATGATACTGAATAAAATTGAAAAATCTGTTTGGATCATCCAGTTGAACATGTTGAATATTTATTTTTACAAGCACTTGTACATGTTGTTGAGGCACATGTTGATACTGATATTGTTCCTAAATAAGCTAATGTACAACATGAACAATCACAGCCATATATATTAACATTTCTTATTAATGATAGTGATAATATCATTAAAATGAATAATATTGAACCAGAATTAAAATAAAACGATAACGATAACGATAACGATAACGATAACGAAACATTTTTTTTCTCTCGAATCAAATGAATAAAATACAATGAAATTTTCTCTCTTGCTTTAAAAATAATGAAAAAACAATCTGTTTTTTTTGTTGTTGCTCATTTACATCGAAAACAAGAGAGAGACAGAGAGATAGAAAGAAGCAGAAATAAAAGAGAAAGAATGGCATATGAGGTTCTTCATTGAATGTTGTGTTAGTATTGTCTGATTTTCGAAGCTTCAATTAATTTATTTGATGAGAAAAAGAAATAGTTTTTCTATCAAATCTATAATATTATTGGAATTCGAGATTTTTCTAATTTATTTTTCGTCGAAAATACAAAAAATTCAAATGCTAATGAACTGATAAGCATAGTTAGTTGATAGTTTTATTTCATAGATAATCAAATGAAATTGATAATTTATAGAGCTAAGCAGCCTTTTTCATCAATTAATATAATCTTTGATATTATAGATTATAAATAAATTTTCTATTTATATAATTTAAAACTACATAAAGAATAAATAAATGAACATTTCCGATTTCAAATTTATTTTAATATTTAGTTTAAATATTCATTAAATTTTATTTCAATTAACTCAATAGCTAGATTTTTAAAATTCAATTTTGCGATTTGTTTTTTTGTGAATAGATGGACAAAGATACGTATGAAATAGATAAATATTTGAAATCAGATCTAATATTTGTCTATTTATTGTCATGATAGTGAAACATATTATCATCGGATCCATATAGTTTTTATCCTCTTCGTATTTATATTTTCAAAAAACACAATATCATCAGTTTTTTTTATCAATAAAGACTCACATTTAATTCTAGGATATTTTATTCACAAACTAAACTCTGTAATTGAAACCTTTTTACATAATCAACAAATTTATTAAGAATTGTTTTTTTGTTAATAAAATCAAAATATTATAGATGATTGAAAGTAATTGATATTTTCCGTAACCAAGACAAAGAAATCACGTGAAGATAACAAAAATGGACTAGAAAACAAAATAAAGTTTAAAATAAAAGCACATTTTTTTTTCTTTTCTCAAAAACCAAATAACAACGAGAATTGATAAAAACAATAAAAAACAGTTGTTCGTTGATCAGTTCATATTGTGGTCATACGAAAATTGAAAAGCATCTTAATTTTAAATATATTTTACTTGAATTGATAACTAATCAAATATGAAAGGACATTTTAGTCTTCAATTGAGACTTTAGAAGAAAAAAAACATCTATTGATAAAGAAGATGTTACTAAATACTCGATAGATTCTTTAATAAAATGAAAATTAACAAAAATAGATGCGTGATGAATCTGTAATGACATATATTTTGAATAAGATTATTATTGAATACAAATTTGAATATAGTAAATGACGAACTAAATATCCATTATCACTTCGAAAATAAATCTGGAACTTCATTAAAAAGATTGTCTTGCTTAAAAATAATAAAATAAAAACAATACAAAAATAACTAGTTGATTGAAGTATGGGTACATAAACTTAAATTGGAACAAACCAAATGAATTCAATTTCAGTTAGTGCTTATTTACATCGAAGATATAGACACCAAGAGAGAAGGCAATAGAAAGAGAAAATTAGAAAAAAAAACGAAAAACAAAAATGGAGACTTCATTTTACTTAATTGATTATTATGTATTAACTGATTCTTTATAGCTGTAACTGATTTATGCAATAAAAAAAAGAGGAAAACTAGATTGATTTGTCAGAGAATATTCCTTTGAATGATAATTCTTTTTGTGCATTATTGAGAAAAATAATTTTGATTAAAATTTATTTTCAATTTAATTAAATTTATTAAGTAAAGTTAAATATATTGAATGAACAAGAATGATTATTTATTCTATTAAGGAAATTGATCAATATGTATGCGGCAATAGAAATTAAAATTCTACTAGAGACATATACAATAGAAGTATTTTAATTTGTTCTGTAGTAAAAATTAAAATTACCATTTTTTACGAATGATTATTTGTCGATAGGAAAGTAAGAAAAATGAACGGTTTGATTATTTAACTTAAGTTTCTCAAAATATTATCATCAACGTGAAAAACATTAAAATATAATAAAAAATTGAGCCTATTTATTTGAAAATTTAAGCGAGAAACATCATTTAAATAAATAATGCGTTTGCTTTTGCATGTAATCATTGGTATAAAATGTGAATTTTAGTTTCTATTGCTTCAAATTTATATAAAACCTAGTCGCTTTATCAGTCTTTTTATTGTTTTTCATTCAAAATGGGAATTAAACTTTAAGAATAATTATTTTTGTCAAAACTAATTGTTATTATAAAGACTTTTGACGAATATCTTTATTTAAAAAAAGTTCAATTATGAAAAAGCAAAAAAAAAATGACGAGAAGAATACAAGACAGAAGTAATTTTTCTTAAATAGAATAAAATTGACCTAATAATCTGATGAAAAGTTCTCTTTCAAATCTAGTTTCGAATTCTTACTATTGGATTTAATAAATTTTTTTTCGATTCATTATAAACAATTAATTCTGATGCATTTGTTTTAATTCAAACAAAGAAAATTGAATTGATCATGATTATCTATTTTTAAATATTATTCTTTAGCGGAAAAATAAAAATAAATTGAAAATAAATAATAAAAAATTCAACGATCATAATAAATATTATCAACTGAAATACAGATTGATCAGGAAAAAACTTTTGTTGGTACCATCTTCTATATCGGATATAATATCTGTGAACGTTAAAAATTAAAATGTTCTAGTAGGAAATAAATTCAAAATCGAATTATTATTTTTGTTGTATACAAATGTTTTTGCATATTAAATTTCGTAGATTAGTGATGATTAAATATTAAAATAAAATCTAATATCGACAACTTATGCAAACGAAGAATATAGTGTTCTGTTCAGTTGATGTTTCTATTTGATTAATCTAATCAATAGAACTAAGCGGCCTCTTCTGGCAAATAATCTTTGACTGGTGATTAAAATCAATCGAAAAGATTCATTCTTTCATTTAATAAAAAAAAAAACAAGCAAATATGACATTGATTTTCTTCTCTTCGTTTAGAAAAAAAGATTTAAAATGTGGTTTATTAAATTAGTTGTATTTGTTGGAATATTAAATAAATATTCAAATGGATTTTCTAATAATGTAAATGAAAATTATATTTAATATCGAATACAATGTTGTTTTTAATATCTAGTTTAAATATTCGTTTGATTCAATTTCAATTAAAACCAAATCAATTCCATGTCCAGGTTAAAATAAAAGAATTCTTTTCTTTATAATTTTTCTTTTCCGCTTTCTTCATGAATAGATAAACAAAGGTAATTAAAGTTAATACAACTATGAAAGAAAGATCAAATATTTCTTTAGCTATTGTCCTGATAATGAAACATGTTGTCTATTATCATCAGGCCAATATGGTTGTTGTCCTCTGCGTATGAATTTATTAGCATTATGTAATTCTATTTTTATAAATTTTTCTTTTATAAATCTTAGCTGATGCTGTTTGTTGCAGTAAGTTTAATATCTAAATAAATTAAAAATAAAACAATATATTGTGTAAATAAGATGATAACCTTCATTGTTGTCCACATGGTTATACGTGTGATGTTGAACATTCAAGATGTCAAAAAGGATTTGAAAATTCTTATGATATTTTATGCCCTGATCGTATGTCATTCATTCATTCATTCTTTTCGTTCATTTTCATTTTTCATAAATTATTTTAGATGAAATGTCTTGTTCTGATGGTTAAAATTATTTATTTTGAAAAAACACTTCAATAATCTAAAATAAAAATTTAATTTTTAGGTGAAACATGTTGCCAATTACAATCGGGTGAATATGGTTGTTGTCCACTACGTTAGTTTTTTTATTGTTTTCAAATTAAAAATTTTATTATTTATTCTAGCAAATGCTGTTTGCTGTAGTAAGTTAATATGAGAAAACAAAAAAAGAACTAATGAAAATAAATTAATATATTGAAGATGATTATAGTCACTGTTGTCCAAATGGATATACATGTAATATTCAAGAAAATAAATGCGACAAAGGAATTTCAATTCCATGGTTTAGAAAAAAATCAGCTTTTCGTTTGAAAAATATTTTATCATCAAAGTTCATTATTCAAAATTTATCATTATCTCTTTCAATAATTCAATGTTCTGGTTTGAATTTTTGTTTTTCTTAATAATAATATTTATTTTATAATTCGTTAAAAGATGAAAAATCAATTTGTCCAGAAGAAACAACTTGTTGTGAATTAAATGATCATTCGCATGGATGTTGTCCATATCGTCAAGCATCTTGTTGTTCTGATAAAGTCTCTTTCTATTTAATCACAATAATTGTTTTCAGATAAAATAATTTTATTTAGATTCATTGTTGTCAAAATGGTTATTCATGTGATGAATCTGGTTCAAGATGTATCAGACATTTGAATTTTATTGAAAAACAAAATATTAAAAGGCAAAGATTAATTCCATTGCCGATTTTTCAAGAACAAATATGTCCTGATGAGAAAACAACGTGTTCATTGAATTCAACATGTTGCCCAAATAAAAGTGAACAAAATATCAGTTATTCATGTTGTCCTTATTCACAAGTAAGTTAGTTTTCTTCAACATTTATTTTCTATAAAAGAATAATTCAATAAAATCAAGGGTACTTGTTGTGGTTCAAATGGTTCATTTTGTTGTCCACATAAATATGTTTGTGATGAAAAACAATTAACTTGTCAATTAAATAAAACAATTAATATTGAAAATCAACTTCTAAATAAATGTGGATCATCGAATTTCGTTTGTCAATTTAATCAAACGTGTTGTAAAACTTCTCAATCAACTTATGATCAATATGCTTGTTGTGATTTCCCTCACGTAAATTCTTACTCAAATATTTAATTTAATTTCAATAAATTTGTATAGGCTGTTTGTTGTAATGATGGTCAACATTGTTGTCCCATGGGTACTTTTTGTGATAACAAATCTTATGGATGTATTACAAGTTAATAACATTGAAACATATTCTTTATTAATATTAAGTTTCTTTTTTGCGATTTGAACAAATCAAATTCTTGTTAAAAAAAATTTCTTTTGAAAAGAAAAGAATTATTTTTATGAATCATTTTGACTCAGAAATTATGATTCATCAAAAGAAATATATTTCTTTTTATTGTCTTTTTATTTGAAATGTCATTAACAAGTAAATACTGGATAGTTGTTTGTATCAGTGATACACATCAACATCATCGCCAATTAACAGATCGATTAAAATCAACTCATACTGGTGATATTCTTATACATGCTGGAGATATAACAAATTTTGGACGTGGTTCAAAACCATTCGAAGATTTTGATCAATGGTTAAGTGAGCTTTCATTTAAACATAAATTAATTATTGGTGGAAATCATGACTCGATTTTAAAGCCAAGTCTTAATCATGGAAAATTTTTAAAAGATGAACAAATAATTATTGATGATTGTCTTCGTATATATGGTTCATCGTGGCGTCCTGTAGGTCAATCAACATGGTCAGATATTCCTTCAAATTCACATATTGTAATAACACATAATCCACCGGATTCACGAAATGGATCACATGTTGATTTAGAAACTCAGTTACAATTAAGACTAAATAAAATAAAACCTTTACTATCAATTTTTGGTCATATTCATGCAGATTATGGTGTTTGGAAACAACCGAATGAAGTTCTATTTGCTAATGCAGCATCTATACCGTGTTCTCGATCTCAAATATTAAATGATCCTTTAAGATTTAAAATTTCCATCGATGAAAATTCAATCGCTTCTATTGAACATCTTATTTAATTTATCCAAACAAAAGTGCAAGAGAAAATCATACTTACTCACAGAACAGTATATGCAAAGACAAAATAGACTATATATATATATATATATAAGTGATTCTGTTGTCTATTGTGCTGTTTTTTCCCCACTGAATCTTTTTAATTACTTCCGTCTTGATATTTGCAACATAGATTTTATCATTCAGTTGCCACTCCAAACTCGGTGTGGCTTGGCCTGAAACTAGACAAATTAGAAGTCACATTTCAATGAACATCAATAAAATGAAAATAATTAGAAAACGGAATAATTTAGTAATAGTGGAAACGTGTGAATAAACAGAGCGAAAGTGGCAAACGGTAACAGAGAGAAATTTAATTTTAGCAGCATATGTAGAACATGACTGATAAAGACTATTTTGGATGATCACACAGTATAGTAGACACCAGAGTCATCTATATGAATTTAGCAATATGAGAAGCTATTTTCTATGCACTGTTTTTTTTTGATTTTGGTGATTCAGTTATAAGCGAGACTAACAAAGTCAACGCGTTACTTGCTATTTGATGCATGAGTAAATCAATAAAATTCAAGTTTCTTCCCCATGTCGTGAGTACTGGATCATTTATTGCGCATGCTTATCGCATATGAAAGTAAAAAAAACTATGTTCAAAATAGCTTAATTAATGATTTAGAACACTTTCTTTTGTCAAAGATTATAGACGAATCGGTTAACCGTTTTCTTTTAGCGGTAACCGTCGTATACCCAGGTCGATGATTTCGATCTCTGGATCCTTCCGGAACCGGTCTGGAAACGGCTTCTTTCCGATGATTTCTCACCGTTTCCCTAGTCTTTCCAGCCGGATCCTGCAGGGAAAACAATAGGAAGTGGAAGCAGTAATCCATCCGGAAAAAATCTTACCCGAAACCCTCCCGTTCCTGTCAAATCGAGCCATATGAAACTGCAAGTAATACACAAAGCTCCTACAGGATCTCCCAGGAGAAAATCAGGAATACCAGCAACAACTTTTGAATCTGGGCCAGAAAAGCAAAGGATACTATTGAAGCACACCGGAACCAAAACGAAACCCAAGACACCGTATCCTCCAACGAATCGCAAAGCTCATCAATGATCTTTCAAGGTTGAGATCGATGGAAGACCGTCTTCTAAGATCTCTCGATGATGAAATGCTTCGACTTGAGCTCGATTTAAGGCCCAAATAATGGATACACTGAGAAAGATCTTTAATGGGTTTTACGCTAATTGCGATATCATTTGCTGATGGAGAGAATGTGAACTGGGGTTAATGCAGTGGAAGGAAGATAATGGAGGATTTGAAGTTAGATGGGTGTTTTGAAATGGATTGATGAGAATTTCGGTTTATTATGAGATTTAGAATCATTATGAGAGAGGTCTGATATGGAATAGAGAAAAAGTATGAAAATTGCTACCTGTAACTTACCTGAACAGGTTTTCAATACACCTGTGTCGTGGGCTATTAATATTCAGGCCTGTTGTTATTTATTGGTATGGAAACGTGTTCATGAATCGGTGCTTGATTCGTGAAAGTCTTCGGCAGTCGTGAGTGCATGTTACTGGTGGCTGCGTCGACGAGTAAATGAACTTTTGAGTGTTGCACCCCCATATATATAGGTGAAGGTCGTCTGCTATGTAGCCTGAAGACTTTTGTGGTGTTAAAATGCGGTTTGTAAGCGGTTTAGGTATTGATTGCAGCAGTTGTGTCGCATTCGGTGATGATTCTCTCTGGCCTTTTATTCTTACCTGTCATAGGTGTGCTTATCTGCTATGGGTGTTGTCAAAGATCTCTTATTAGATAAGATTAGAATTTTCTTATGATTTTTCAAAGACTCTCTTCGACGTGCCGTGAAAGATTCCCCTCTTGACGTCGGGATGTTTTCCTACCGTTTTTTTTTCGGTTAGGGCTGGATGCAAAAGACGTTCCCAGCCCGAGCATTATGAACGTACACGGGTCGTATTTTAACGTTTTGGTATGCGCCGTATGGTATGTCTGATTAATGTCGAAAAAAGAATGTCGATAGGCAAAATGTCGAAAAGTCTGAAGGCGATAAGACTGAGATCTTAGTAGTGTTAATGTTGTCGAAGAAAGGGAAAATAGGCAAAACTATGTTTTTAATCTATTTATAGAAACAATAATTTAAGAAAAACTATCTAATAATTAATCATTTTTATTTTTGTTTTGTTTTGTTCTTAGCCACAACAAACGATAAGCCTTCTAAATATTCTACTAAATTGATTTCATCATTTGTATAGCAATCAGCAAGAGTAGTAATACGGCGTTGTACACAATTTGCTCTTTTTGTTTTGGTCTACCAATTGCGCCCGCTCGTGTTTGTACGTATTATTTGATGACGAAGATATACTTCTTCTTGTTTCAAACAATTGATGAAGTGCCATATATTCGGATGATGTTTATTCACACGAATATTGAATCTATTATGCCAACCTAGAGACAGAAAGGAGAGGGTTGGTTATCATTTACCACAAATAGAAATCCACAGACACATCTATACATCATATCCACACTTGTGGTGAATAAAACAAATATGACCCATTCTGGTGGCCAAATAGGGATTTTTGATTTAGGGATTTTTCAATTTAGGGATTTTTTTTATACAATATCTTGTTCAAGTCACAACCGAACAAGGTCCCAGTTAGGGGTTCATCAATACCAGTATACTGCGTACTGGTAACACTGGTGACCAGAATCATCTCTCCGAGTTTCTAACAAGAAGAATTACGTTTCGAAATGATTCGAATGAATATTGAATATGTATGATTCTGGTAACCAGAATCAGCTCTAAGAGTTTCTGATAAGTAGAATTACGTTTCGAAAGGTGATTCTGGTAACCAGAATCATACATATTCGATATCTATTAGAATCATTTCGAAAAGTAATTTCGCTTATCAGAAATTCTTAGTGCAGATTCTGGTTACCAGAATCATTTTCAAAAGTAATTTCGCTTATCAGAAACTCTTAGAGCTGATTGTGGTTACCAGAATCATACATATTCAATATTCATTCGAATCATTTCGAAACGTAATTCTTCTTATTAGAAACTCGGAGAGATGATTCTGGTCACCAGTGTTACCAGTACTCAGTATACTAGTATCGATGAACCCCTAACTGGGACCTTGTTCGGTTGTGACTTGAACAAGATATTGTATAAAAAAAAATCCCTAAATTGAAAAATCCCTAAATCAAAAATCCCTATTTGGTCACCAGAATGGGTCATATTTATTTTATTCACCACAAGTGTGGATATGATGTATAGATGTGTCTGTGGATTTCTATTTGTGGTAAATGATAGTCATTCGATATAATATCTTTAAGTAGCTCTCATGTAATTTTTCAAATCGTTTTTCTCGTTCAGTATCTCTTATGAGATGTCACATTACAGTCTTCCCCTACAAAGAGGTACATGAGATGTTATCGTTTAGCAATAATTTCATATTTGGATCGCTTGTAAGGATAAAATCTAATTCAAACGGTATTCTTATTTATAGGTTTCAAAACGACAGAATAGACTTCTCATGAACCTTTGGTTTATTAAAAGAATCAAATGAAATGTTAAAAACTCTCTCGAACTAAGCAATATATTACTTATGAAACTGTCAATGAGATTTTTAGTAATTGAATCTAAACAAAAGGTCATCCAACAATCCACAATAGCTAATACGTTGGATACACTTATCACTACAGAAAGACATGGAAAATAGCATTGCTGAATTCTTACGTCAAAACTTGTATTATTTGTTTATTATTTATCAAACATTTTTACCCATTTCAGTAGAGGATTGGCGACTCTTACGTCGTGTTACTTGTCGATATGGAATAAAACCAAAGAAAAATAGCATGTCTCTACTTCAAAATTGACAAAATAAAACAACTTTTAGACAATAATTTTTATCGCAAATTTGATCTCCTTGTAAACGATAAAGTATAAGAGTAGAAATGAATTACTTCAAAAAGATAGAATTCTTTAACGAATTGATAGAAGAAAGTCAAATTACAATATTCAAATATTTCATCTTTATCGTTTGATATTTATTATTATTAGAAATGAAAAGAGGCAATCGAGCAGAAAAAAAAGAATTCCTTTCGCACTTTGCATATTGTTTTCTGACTAAATCGTTATTAATTAAATAAATCCTTCATCGATAATAAATGAATCTTAATTTTTCTTAAACATAATCCTGAGGGTGTGGGTGTGGATGTGTGTTTCATGCCTTTCATATGCACCCACACCCACCCATCTAGTGATTTGATACGTTGATCTTTGCAACTTTATGAATAGAAAATTGTCTAAAAAACAATTTTAAGCATCTTATTCACATAATGCTTTGACCTATATTATATTTCTGTCTCATTTTGAGTTAGACTACTAACTTATCAATGTATTATTAATGAATTGCCTATCATCCTATGAAAAGTTCATGTAAGATAAATATTATTTTGTGTTGAACATTATCGAGTCAGATAAGATCAATCAAAATAACACTTTATTAGGAATAATAATAATGTAAGTGGTTTTAGTTTTTCAAAAATAATAATTTTTTGTTACACAAACAGGTGATTATAGAGCCAATCAACTTGAGAAACATAATTTTTTCCAAAGTCTAATGACACAGTTATTTGCACGTCAGTATGAACACTTATTTGGTTTCATAGACAGCAAGGCTTCCTTCAAAAATACATGGAAACAAACTTTTAAATGTCACACTTCAAAACTTTACACAACACTTATGTTCTTAATTCATCAAAGAAGCAAATTAAGATATTCGAACCTTTCACAATACATAAACTAAATTTGTCAAAGCTTTACATCTAGTTAAGCTGCAAGTTTAAATTTCAAAAAACAGTTTCATCATTATCCTTGAAGGAACTTCGGTATTTACTTAACAAATACCATGAAAATGCAAAGTCTCTACACCAACAATCACAAGGATACCAGCACTTCTATTTGATGTGCATAATCGTAACTAGAACTAGATAATTTCTACTAAAACTTTTCACACTTTAAAAAAATTAGCAATCGTCCAATAAATTTCACCAGATGAAAAATTTACATAGTACTTAGTCCAAATTTACCAAGATAAACTATATTTGTCTATATTTATATATATATGTATATATCCTTATATAATTCATAATAAGGGATGAGATTATATTTGCTTCTTGCTTAAAAAGTGAAGAGAAAAAAAAACCGAATCCGACATAAACATACACGAACTTACTCGTTGTAAAAACTACATAGAGCACGTACAGAGATAGACATATAAACAAAAAAAGGAAAAAAAAAGAAGACACTTATAACAAGCACAACAATAACATGAGTATGAAAATTAAAAAGAAGCAAAAAGAAATCGACAGCTGTACATAAGATATTATGAAGTCTTGCCATATGAATTTCTTGTAGATGGTCACTGTTCACGTACTAAGGATAATTTATTTATAAGCATTGGAAAGCACCGGAAAACGAGCTAGACGTTAATGTAATAGTTGACTAGGTTAAAAATGAAGAGTTTAGTTTTTGGTTAAATTTTCTGAACCATCATTTTGTCGACTTCCATCTATTGTTGATTCTTGTTGTGTCGTAGAATTTGAATTCGTTTGATCAGCATTATTAATGTTAGATGCTGACTCTTTACTATCGTTAGCTGTTGATGGTATTGTTTGTGTATGAACAGTAGTAGTTGTTGTTGTTTCACCATCATTACCAATTCGTCTAACAGTACGATATTCTGTTATAGTTTTACCAAATGGTTTCGGCGCTAAAATTGAAGGTGAAGTTGATGGTTGTTGTGGCACTGGTGAAGCTCGAGTTATTAATTGTTTTCGATCACTTTCAACAGTTACCTAAATAAAAACCTGTTAATAATATCCGTTAGAAATCCAAATTTGAAACACGATGTAACAGTTGTTACTTATCCATAGGAAGATAGTTATATTCTATCAATGTTCAGACTTATTTCTTCATCGTCTACTTACATAATCTTTCAGAAAAGCGATAATCAAGTACTGCATATAGAGTCTCATTATTGAATACTAACAACATGTTTCATGGTCAGTGACGTAAGAAGAAACAGTACACTTCAAGAGTCAAGTTTCGCTTCGTGAGAGGGCTGTGCAACTCAGGTGTTTCTTCGTGGCTGTCAGATTCAAATTTTTACAACGTGTTTAATCATAACAATAACAAAGAAAAACATGCAGAACTGAATAAATGAAGTATTACTTACTGAAATATGAGTTGTACGTTCGGTAACTTCAAGCTAAATTGAGAAAGATATAATTAAAATGATAGACAAATAGAAGCAAACAACAAACCTGGATTGGTGGTGTTGGTGATTTTTCTTTATCATTTACTTTAGTTTTTAAATATTCAGTATCGATTATTTGAGATTGCGGATTTTGTTCTTCTTTTTCATATTTTTTTAACAGATCATATGCTTGTTTACCTTTTGTTTGCTGTTGTTGTTGAGCAACAACAGGTGTTGGTTTTCGGGTTGTTGTTGTTGTTGTTGTTGTTGTTTCAGAAGCTTTTACTACCTTTGGTTGTTGCTGTTCTTGATTATTATCAGTTGCAGCGAAAATATTATTTGAATTACTAACGAAACCTTGACTATCAGTTTCGAATTTACCACAGCGACTTTTAGCAACACGAAAATAGGATACATTTTCTGGTTGCTTCTCATTTTTTTGATGAATTTCAGCACGTTCATTATGATCTTTTACAATTTTTAAAAGACCTTCCACTGGCGATGATTCTTTCAATGTTGTTCGAGGTGATACTGATGGAGGTTCAGCTATGCCAGCTTGAACAATTTCACCAACTGAGTAGTTTGTTGGAGACGTACTTAGAATTTCTTCATGTTCAGGTATAGCTGTTTTTGGGGATTGTTGAACAGTTGAGTACGGAGATTCAATTTGTACGACTTCTTTAGTAACCTTTTGAATTTGAGAATAAATTGGCGTTGCTGAATGTGTTTCATTAAGATTTTCTTGTGGAGCTTGTGTTGTAACCAGTAATGTTGTAGTTATTGGTGCCTGTTGTTCAGCTAAAAGATTTAATAAACGTTGTTCATCATTAGGGCTCATTTTTATATTAATTTTCTGTTGTTCAACATTGTTTGCTTGTAATTGTTGATTATCAACAATTTCATCTGTTTGAGTTTCTTGAGGAATAGTTGCTATTGGTACAGCTGGAGCTTTACGTTTTTGTTTTGTTCCATTAATACTTTCTGTTAGAGATTCATGACTTTGATGATGATGATCAGGTGAATGAAGTACCATATTTTGTTGTTCCTGTAATGGCGGACTAACATAACCAGGTGGCATAGGTGCACGTCGTTTCTTTGTCATTGATGAAGAATTTGATGTTTGAGATTGTGTATCAAAATTCGGATCATTCCAATAAGCATGAAGTGACGTATGCGATGTTATTGGTCGTGTTGAACGTGCTGGTAATGATGCAACATTTTGACCTTGTGTTGGTGAGCCAGTAGGATTTAATTGAACGCTTGCCGGACGCTAAATTGAATAAATTATGGTAATAAGGCCTAAGGACAAAAATCAAAAGTGAACAATTTTTACTTGTTTACTGTTCGTTAATGCTTGTTGTTCATTTTCAATCTCTTGAACAGTTTCTCTCGGCGAATGACTTTCTGAACGTACACGATAAAGACGATCAAATGATTGTAATTGATTTTTAAGATAATCAGGATCTATATTTAAATAAAAATAAAAATAAAAATATTGTATGAAAAAATTGATTTACCATTTTTAAGATGAACCAATGTAAGTTCATTTGTTTTATATTCAGCTAATGATAATCCAAGTAATAATCGCTGATCGGGTTTAGTTGGTATACGTAATGTATATCGATTTGAATCAATATATTTTTTTTGTTTACATATTTGTTCTTTTATTTCATGCAAAGGTAAATTCGGATCAATACGTAAGATAATTTTTTGTCCATCTGGTAAGTTAACTTGTAAACGGACTGTTATCTATATTTAAAATAAAATATTAAAAAAAAACAATATTATTCATTAGGAAGAAATTGATTTAGTCAAGAGTACTTCAAATGGCTGAGTTTTGGGTTTTGTTGGGGAATATACTTGAGTTGCCTCCTTAGGAAGGAGACTAATTGTGGTAGAACCTAAAAATAAAAACAATCATAATTTAATATAAGAAGTCAACAGAAAAATAAATTTACATTAGTACTTACCGTTTATTTGTGGTAATTGACAATTTTGAACTAAAATAATATAAAACGTAAATTTATTCAAATCTAATTCTATTTACAAAATGATAAAAGAAAAGTCAATAACATACCAATTTGCCCAACGGTTTGATTAGCCTTGAAATGAATAAGATGCTGATTTGAATCGAGTACAACGAGCGAATAACTGCTCGGATTAAGTTTATTTAATGATGCTGCTTGCACGAGTAAATCCATCATTGGTGTACTAAACATTAACACAAATTTATTTATCTAAATTGAATTATTTTGAAAGCAAATTCATTACTTAGCGTCAACGCTAATAACAGATGGAATTCCATTTGGCAAGATGAGTGTCAGTTGCATCTTGCCAGCTTGTTCGGGTATATGTTCTTGGTGATAAAATGTTTGATGTCCATGACCGTGAAGATGATGAGCTGGGTTTGGATCCAGAATTGGCATCATCGTGCAGAATAATGAAATAATCTTTATTCGAATCAAAGGAATATAATTTTAAAAAATAAGAGAAATCTAGAATACAAAAAATCATTCATCATTCTCTATGTCTCATAATCCCATGAGATATTACTACATTTCTTTTTTGTTCTTCTTGTTGATCTTAGAACCTCATAGTATTTCATCTTACTCTCATTTGACTGAGTAAAAGAATGCTACGTGCAGAACATGCACAGTGACTATTAATGCTGCCAGTTTTATTTCTATTATTACTATTGACATAGTCCAATTCGGTTTGCTTATGACGATACAACGCGACTTTTTTCCTTTTTCTTTTCTCTTTTTTTATTATTTTTTTCTATTCACACAGACAAACACACGCGATATTGGATCGAAAATAGTCTAATGCTCTCTTCACTGGAGATTTTTTTCTTCTCGTTCTTTCCTCACTGTCGTTATTTGCAATAAAATCAATGGACTGTATATGTGCGATGCATTAAGAGTCGTGTAGTCTTTGGTATTGCTCTAAGGTTGATACCCGAAGTGTTGTTGTTTTTTTTATGATTATAGACGCACGTAGAAAAGGCAAAAAAACGACCGTGATCACTCCCCATTTATATTATTTGTTCTTCTTATCTATCTATTCCTCTGTTGCTTAGTGTTTTTGATTCTCTGCGTCCTCAACAAGATATAGTGCGTGTCTCTTATTTTTTTTTGGCTGTGTATATATACTATACATATACAACATACTCTCGCTTCTTACTGACGTCATAGAATGTTTATATAATTTGATCATCATTTCTCACGTAATCGACACTCGCGACAATAGTTTGAACTAATACAATAGATTAGTTTTTCCTATGAACGTGTCTCATTTCTCTTAGGGTTAAATGTCTTCATTCTAGCGGATAGCATTAGTTGAAAAGAAAAGAAAAAAAATGCATGACTAACTACATGGTACTTCTATTCTTTTCAAACAAACTATAGACGATGGCAGTCAGGATAGAAGAAGAAAAATCTAAATGATTATTAATGGAAGCTAATTTGAGATTTTGACCAATAATTTTTCATGACGGAAGAGGAATCTTACAGACAAACGAAAGAATTAAAAAAAAAGAAAAAAGAAAAAGATGAGAAAAAACTTCGATGATGCAAACGGATGTCACTCACCTAAACTGTCCGGAAGAGTTCTCCTATTCTGTTATGGTATGCCATTTTTCTCTTTTCTTTCTTACTACTCTTCTAAATTATGAACGAGAAAGGATAAGGGCGAGTATAAGAGACCTAGCTGCGTGTATATATGTGTAATCAGAAGAATAGATGCAAAGGAGACACATAAAAAGAGAGAAAAGGAAAAAATATTGCATTAGCACTAATAAACTACTTCGGCGACCATCATCATAACGATGCGAACAGCCGTCACCGTCAGTAGAGAAACGGGCGAGAGGAAAAGAGTAAAAAGTAACCATATCGTTCTAGACAGTCGTCAAAAAATGGTCTCTTTTGTTTCTAACATTGACTGTGCACGACACTCCAGAGATTAAATCTATCCTTTTTCGTTCTCTATTTTTTATTTGTATCGATAAAGCATCGCTGAAATGAATGACAATAGGAAGAGTCATGTCAATTACATATACATATACATATGCATCACGCAATCGTAAGAGTTAGAAATCAATTCAATCTGAATTAAACTTGCATACAAATGTGAAGATGCAACTGCATTAACATCTTTTTTGCATAATTAGAGAATTATAGAAATCAAAAGAATAAAACGTGCGTTCTCTTTTTCGTACTCGGTTATTTATAGAACAAAAACTCAAGTATAGTAAAATCAAAATCACAATTTCAATCGAGTGGTGGATCTACAAAAAAAACCGTTGAAGGTACTATGGAATGAATCGAAATACAATATTAAATATAATAAAGTTCATTATCTTTTTTGATCATTATAATATCAAAGTTTTGGATCATCGGAAATAGTAGTAATCACTTCGTAAAATTTTTGTGCTACTTCATCAGCATTTCTTTGTGTTATGGCACAAACATTAATTCGACCATCACTCATTATGTAAATATGGTGTTGTTGAATTAATACCTGGCATTGGCGTGGATTAAGGCCCGTATAAGCAAACATGCCTTGAAAGAAATCGACACTCATGTATATAATTCATAATTAGATATCAACTAATCTTACCAGTTTGTTGAATAATATGTTCCCACGTTCCCGGTGTACCTAATTGTTTAAGTTTATTGTAAAATAATTGTCTCATGGAGTGTATACGTTCATACATAGCACGAACATTATTTTTCCATTCACCGTATAAGGTTGGGTTATTTAAAATAGTTGCTACAATGTATGCACCATGTGCTGGTGGATTTGAATAGTTTCTTCGAATAATTGTTGCCATTTGTGTGCGAAATTTGGGAATGATATCACGAGATTCAAATACACCAACTAAATGTCCTATACGTTCATTATATAAACTAAAATTTTTAGCAAATGATTGAGCGACAAATAATTCATGTTTTGCTTCGTGTGCAAAATAACGTATGGCCCATGCATCTTGATCAAGATCACCACTTGAAAAGCCTTGATAAGCCATATCGAAAAAAGGAACTAGTTCACGAGATTTACATGTGTCCGATATGCGTATCCATTGTTCGCGTGAAGGATCACAACCAGTTGGATTGTGCTAAAAATTAGCCAAAATCAAAATTTTCATTCATGTTCAAAATTAAACTATCCTTACAGCACATGCATGAAGTAAAATAACAGATTTTTTTGGTGCTGCTTCAAGATCGGCAATAAGACCATCAATATCAAGTGTAAGTTTATCTTTATTCCAATATCTGTATTTTCGTACTTCAAATCCAACGGTTTGTAAAATTGAATCATGATTACCTATTAGAAATTTAAAAAAATTACATTAGAACAATTATTTGTATTTGTTAATAATCTAACCCCATGTTGGTGATGATACATAAGCTGTACGAAAACCATTTCGATAAAGAAAATCTAAACCAATACGAATTGCACCGGTTCCACTTAATGATTGTATGGAACAAGCGCGATTTTCAACAATAGCTGGTGATTGTTCACCGAGAACTAATTTTAAACATGCTGTACAAAATGCATCAAGTCCAGTTCCTTTTAAATAATTTTTTGTTAACGTTAAATCTTGTGCCATTTGTTGTTCGACTGATCGAACAACTGGTAATGTTAAAGTTCTGCCATTTTCATCTTGATAAACGCCAATGCCTAAATTTACTTTTGATGGATTTGCATCTTGATTAAAAAGTTCAGTCAAATGAAAGACTTCAATTGGTGGATCTGTTGGAATGTTACTAAATAAACCCATCAGACTGACGTTATATCTAAAAAAAGAAGAAAAAAACGAAGCTTTATTTGTTTGTATGATATTGTTATCGTAGCCTTCATGTTAGTTCTTTTTCAAATCAACAAAAATTGCACCTGCTGCTGTTGTTGACATCAACAATGAATGTTGATGACACATATTTATATAATATTGCCCCACATGTATACAATGATGTAGACAATAGGGTTTTATGGGTATACATTTGCACATAAATAAATGTTAAAGTAAATGAAAATAACAGTACGTATATAAGTTCGATTATCGATCGGATTAGTGTAACACATAATCATCCATAAGTCAATAATGGATTTCCGATTGGTGATAAAAATAAAAGTTTAAAAAATAGCAATTTGTATGCTTTAAGTAAACATTAATAAGCTGAAAGAATAATATTTCATTCGAATCAATAATATATCTAGGGATTTACATAAACTATTCTCGCTTAATTTATATTTTGACAGCTTCATTCAAGTATTTCTGTTGATTTTGTGTGGCCCTGTAGAATAGGCTTCTTTTCTATAAACAAGGAACCTTCTATAAAATATTATCTAAAAGATGTATTGAAGTGCATCGATAAAAGTTTAGACCTTGACTATAGAACAAGACAGATGTTGTTGATGTATAATTGCAAATTATCTATCAATAACGTCTCGTCATGATATATTACCTACTTTCTTATTGGCGTTTTGAAAGATGAAGTAAAAGGATGGTGAAAAAACTGCATGTCCCAAAATAGATAGAATGCAGTAATTTCCCTATGGATAACAACAATAATAGCTACACAGTGGTCTACATTTTAGCCCTTCAAGGATGCCGATAACAACATATTTTTTTTATATCATAATCTAATATATTTTGTAAAACATATGCACTCGATGTAAATGAATAATCCTTGGTGCATACATATAGATAACTAGGGACACGGATAATTAAACTCAGATTTCTTCAATACGTACAATATTCGTATTGATTATTACATAAAGAATCTATAGGACTAGAACTTCAACAAAGAAATTTATATGGAAACATTTTTTTTCTTATTAGTTTAAGGTAAAATTTACCGCTCTCAATGAATACGAAAACCTTTCTAACCAAACAGTAGATAAGGAAGCTCAAATTTCTGCACTAGTAATATCAAGTAAGTGACAATGAAATATATAACAAAATACTAACGGTTAAAGGACAACAAGGTCAAAATTATATCTGTTGTGTTTCACACATGAATAAAATATACATTAGTGTATGCACTTCTGATAAGACCAATAAATGATCTCGTTAGAAATTGTAAATCATATAAAAATGATTTGTCTACTTTTTATATAGAAAAAAAAATAGAAGTTCTTATTCTGCAGTGATCAATACAATATTTTGTATCTCTTTTTATTATATTTAGAAATTTGATGATTCTAATCTATTATGACTGCCTGTCAACTTTGTTATATCTTATCAAGCGAAAGCTAATAGAAATCGAATGAGTCAAGCCCAATTTGGTTAGAAAATAAGAAAAACAGAAGTTTCTTGACGTGGAAAAATGAAAATAACTTTTTGTTGATAGTATCTTAACATGTGAAGCAACCATATTAACTATTCATTATTTGGCAAAAAATCGCCTATTCAAGAAGAATAATGAGATAACGAAACATAGATTTGTGAGATTTTATCATGTGAATAGAGAAGTTACAGAAAAAAACTCTAAACTGACCTGTTACTTGCAGTAGTCAAGATGGTGACAATTGAAAAGAGAAAGTTGATTCGTAACCATGGATGAATTACTTGTGAAGTTAGATAAAAAAAACAATGCAAACTTTATGAAAAACTATCTCGCCTTTATAAAGATAACGCCTCATCAGAAATGTAAACTTCGAAAAACAACTTAAATAGAGAGAAGAATACAATGGCGACGATATAATATTACTTGTCAACGAGAAATGTTTCTTGTAAGCAATGAAATATTGATCGAAAATTCGTTCGACATTCAATAGTTTTCTCTCCAATATGATTATAAATCTAAATCGTGAAAGCAAATTTTTAAAATAAGGATGATATACGTGTTGCATTGCTATCGTTGCCACCGTATTGTCTATTTGTTGTTGCTATCTATCTTCGATTACAATCCGTTAACATTCAATGGACATCTCATAACGTATAGGGATTCGTAGTGGCAGAGAAAGATGTCGTCAGTAGTTGTATTTGAAAAAATATAATCAAAATTTACCATATCGATCAGATTAGATAAGATCGAAATCTAAAACGAAATCATAATATCATCATTGTAGATGCCGTATCATATTTATCTATCTAACAAATGATGCTACACTCTAAGAAACGTTTTGAACGAAATCTAGGCTTAAAATAGTTCATTGACTAAGCATTATATGACCAAGAAAATCGTACTTTAACATGCGGAAATTGCTATGATGAAAAGCAGCTATTGAGAGACAACACTGGGTATTAGAAATAGAATGATTGTCTAGCGGGCGTGGGTGTGATTGATCATATGGTGCACATTCGCATCATTATGGTTTTATGAATCTCCTTTAAAAGGGTCATGTAGATTTTTCTTGATTTTTTTAGAAAAAAGTCAGAAGTTTGTTATGAAATTTTCTCATTGCTTTATTAAGCAGAATCTGAAAGGATTGTTTCGTATTAGATACACACCTTCTATTTTTTTATGCTTTTTTGTAGGTTATTTTCTATTTTTCGAAGGTCAAAGAGTAGCAATACTGTTTATATCCTTAGTTTTTGATGTATCATTATTTTTTTTTACTATTCTTTATAAAGAAAAAACTACAACAGAATTACTAAGCGGTTAGAGAATCACTTTATATTATTTTATCGTATGATTACAGATACGAACGAAAAGATGCAGTGTCAGAGCGAAAAAAAAGAGCAAAGTCACGTATACAAAAAAAAAGATTAAGCACAATGAGAGCGACGAAGTATTGACACAGAATTATAATATACTTTTTTTTTGACAAACATATTCGTTTTTTCATTTACTCAAATTCCTACAATGGTTCTTGAATTATATATTGACTGGATATCTCAGCCATGTCGTGCTGTTGCCATGTTACTGATGGATAATAACATTGAACATCAAGTTCATGAAATCGGCATTATGAAAGGAGAAACTAGAGGCGCTGCTTATAAGCAAGTGAATCCATCTGGAAAACTTCCTGCGATTGTTGACGATGGTTTTCAATTGGGTGAATCTCATACAATAATGCGTTATTTATGTGCAAGTAGAAATTTACCTGATCATTATTATCCAAGCGATATTAAACAGCGCGCTAAAGTTGATTACTGGTTAGATTGGCACCACACGAATCTTCGTCATGGATCAATTCGTTTAATAAGAGCAAATATATTTGGTCCTATTAGAAACTTATCTCAACAAACAATTGATGAATTAAGAAAAGAAGGTGATGAGGTGTTGAAATCAAGTTTTAGTTTTATGGACGAAGCTTTGAGTAAGAGTAATTATATTGCCGGTGGAAATCAACTTTCAATTGCTGATATTGCATTAGCATGTGAAGTAGTAACGTTACCAATTGTAGGAGCTTCATGCGAAGATTATCCAAATGTACAAGCGTGGCTGAATAGAATTTCAACAGAAGTTAAGTCTTGGCATCAAGCAAATACGGTGATGAATCAATTTATTGCATCAATGAAGAAATGAATTAATGCTAATTGATTGCAAAAGTAACGATGATACTTTACATTCACAAATTTTTGATTCACGAATCTAAAATCATCTTTGATTTTTAATATATTTATATTTATAACACAAATAGGGTTTGCCTACATAATATTTTCTTGACTTAAAATAAAGGATTTTGAAAATGAAATGTTCATGTGTCAGTTTTATCGACGTGGGGTGTAGCTGTAAGATGGCTGATAGTAAATTAGCGTGTTTTGAAAACACTGTAATGATTGATATTTTTTCATTTAGCATTTGTTGCTAACAAAAATAAAGTGGAACTAGTAATTAAGAAAGAAACGTCTCAAAAGCTGAAATTCGATATTTCTTTCGCAGATGTGACCAGTTTTCCGTACTTTTTGTTCTCATTCTCACGAAATAGATGCATAAATGCAAGAACAAACCAAATACATTCAAGAAGCAGTATAGAGAATTTTTCTTATATCCCGTTTAGTTCCCAGAAAAAGATATCATACGTATGTTCGTTTATCATTTGTAGGTGATCGTTTTTGTTGCTATCTGAGTTATTCTGATCATCTCATGTGTATGCTTCATATCCAAGGGGGAAACTACTGATTTAACTCAGCTGAAACTCATTTTAGATCACCCAAACTCATTTAAGATCACCCAAACTCAGTTTAGATCACTAAACTCATTTTAGATCACCCAAACTCATTTTAGATCACTAAACTCAACCAAACTCAACTAAAATCAGTTTAAATCACCGATCATAATCGGAAAAAAAATTCCATTCTCACAGGAAAATCGAATTGAATAGTTTTATTCAACTGACATCTTAATTTTTTTTAAATTATTAACGAAAATCATGCTAATAAACAATCACTGTATATTTTTTTTCCACTGTAAAACGTCTAGTGTATTTTTTCTTTCTCGATTAAGTTGGTAGCCATGTGCTTTTATCAAAAGTGACATATTTTAACGAATGCTTTTAATACATATGTATAGTTAGATTAGAATGAAAGAGAGAGAATGAGAGACACAGAGAGAAAATTCATCTCTCGTCCTGTATCTAACTGAAACAAAATTATCGAAAATTTTACATTTTCTTTCTCCTATCTTTCTTTACATTCATTACTTTTGTCTAACCATCGTTTGTCTATAACATATCTTTTATTTGTTTTAATTTTAAGAATAAGAGAATTATATTCACAGATCACATAAATGTATCAAGTCAAATGCAATGTTGAACATTATATTACGCATCAAACTAATTTTGATTATCAAAGTTTGTCAATATTCTCAAAGATAAAAGAATTTTATTATTAAAAAATTGATTTAAAGTAATTCAGTAGTCCAAGCTAATTATAACAAGAATAAATCCATTCAAAGATCAAAAGATAGGCTTTGTTTCGTTTAAGAAACAAAAAAATATCATCATTTGTTTCAATAAAGCTTTGCATAGTTTATTTTTCATTATAGTCTTCTGCGTTTTTTATTAATACAGTAATAAAAACTACTTTGGTGAATACATGAATATCCATTTATATATTTTCTGCTATTATATGAGATAATTTTGTCTCTCTTCTTTTCAACAATTGGAATTTTACTCAAAATGAACGTATGGAATCCAGTTTTAAAATAATAAGTTTTCAAGTAGAGTATATATGCAGCAAAACGACTAAGGTAACAAATTTATCAGCAATTAAACGTTACATGAAAGCGTAACGCTTTTCGAAGTTACCGGAGTATATTATTGTGATGATCTTTTATTATTTACTACTGTGGTATTTTCAAGTAGTTCTATATTTCAGATGAACTTTCCTCTTCCAACTAATGCAACTCTACTTCGTGGAGATTCTTTTTACTCTATCGTCGAAGAATTTTGTGGTAGGGAGGTGCTCGAATTACTTAAGTTTCAGCTGATCAATTCTTCAATGGACTTGATTGAAGTCGACGATGTCTTCTCCATTCTTCAAATTGAATCAGATCAAACAACAACAATCAAAGAATTTTTAGGTATTCCAAGCAAAGATAACTTGAGCAATTATTCGTTTTTTATCATGCCCGGCATTCGCTTAAAGCTCGAAAAGTTTATACGTTCGCTACGTGCTCTTCTTACATCTACTGATTCTACATCTTCCTTATCTGTTGCGCCTTTAACGATTTCATCTGAACTTCTCCAACGATTTCCGTTCGTGATCGACCTTATATATTGCTTGGAATCGCAATTATTGACAGATTTTTCATTGGATTTCATTTCGAATCTTCTATCTAACATCACATGTTCTAAAAATGCATTTCGTTACCAACAATCAGTGAAAGATTTCGCTGCTTCTCTCTATATTCTTGGAGGACGTAACGTATATGAATTCGTTCGGTTAAATCTTCCTGGATCTATTCCTTGTTTAAATAGTCTACGATCAATTCTCACATCTTCTAACAAAAACTTCGTTGAAGGTGAATTTCAATATGAACATTTGAAGGATTTTATCGATATGTTGGACTGTAAGTACGCATTTTGTGGTGAAGACAGTACTTCAGTCGTACCAAAAGTATCTTACGACTCACGTTCGAACTCATTTGTTGGTTTTACCCTTCCGCTTAACAATGGATTTCCTTCCTCTCGCTATTTTACTACTAATTCATTTGGTAAACTTGAAACATGGTTTGAAGAAGTAGATAAATCATTTCTGATCAACGTACACGTTATTCAAGCTGTATGTTCTATTGATCAAACATCACCATCGCCATTTCTTCTTGCTGCTTATGGTACTAACAGCAAATACACAGCTCAAGATATTCTTGAGAGATGGTCAAGAATTTTTGATTCATGTATGACTCAAAATATCCGAATTTTAGGCTTTTCGGCTGACTGTGACCCAAAACAAATGAAAGCAATGCGTGATTCGATGGGATTCTTCTCAAAATCACAAGCCGGGTTTGAAGATCATCCTCATCATTTAGAAATTTCTTCATTTAAAGTGAGTGAATAAGTATAGTTGCGAAAGAAAAAGATGGATCTTACTACGTAGTCTGTGTAGGCTTATAAACATGTGAACAGCTAAGCACAATAAAGAAAATCACATTAGCTACGTTTTGTCGAATCAACATCTAATCAATTACTTTGAGATTCGAATAGATCATCAATAGAAATCGGTTGACATTTGGGTTATTGATTATAATTGAAGAAATATAAAATTTTATTTAGATCTACTAAAGGATTATCACTGATTTCTCGTCTGATTATTCTCTGAATAGTCATATTTTCTCATGAAAATCTAGCTTATTTGCTCAGAACCAAAAACGATGTCATTTTTTACTTCAAAATTTTTCTCTTAGTAATAAAAAAGGAACATGAGAACACTTTTTGTCGACTTCTAAACTAACATGAAGTATTTGAAAAAGCAATACTATTTTAGTACGATAGAAACAACATTCAATCTTGTAAATTTATTCAGATTTTTTTTGTGTTTTCCATTGTTTAGAATACATCATGGTTTTTTTTAAAACCACGACAACTCTTTGTATGTTTACAAGATGCATCACATCTGTGCACTAAATTACGGAATCGTCTTTTATCTTCAAATACAATTTTATTAATGGGAGAGAAGTATGCCAGTATCGACGATCTCATACAACTGATTGATAATCATTCGAAGATCGATCATGGATTAACCGTATCAGATATTTGCCCAAAGGACAAACAAAACTATTCGTCATGTGAAAAGATCACAAGTACTGCTGTTCTTTCTTCCCTTAAAAATATTTCCAATTCTGAAGCAACTCAAGCATATCTAGAGGTAAAATTTAATTAATCTCTCTACGTGGAAAGTTTTTAACTGTCATATCGACCAGATATTATCTCTTCACATAAGGATAAATAAATAGACTTGCATAAAAAAATGTTTATGACACATAGACAAAGTTATTTAAAATTTTTGACTAAACTACTGCGCTACTTAGTGTTTTTAAATGCTCAAATATTATAAATTTGTTTTTGATAGATAATAAAATGTGTTCGTTTGGCGTACGTCGACAAAAATACTACTATAATTAATCGTCTTTACTATGCCTGGTGTGCAGTCTTTATCGTACGTATCTGGTCTGCATGGTTACAAAGCATAAACTGCAATGAACTTAAAAAAAGAGCCTCGCATTTGCTTTCAACTAGCATTGGTATACCTGTTCCTAAAAAGAACTTCTTCATTACCATACCTGCTCTTTTCTCGCTCGAATTGAATGCTCATAGTCTAACATATCTTACTGTGCTATTGGCAGAACAGAAAATCACCAAAGAAGCGTTAAATATTTCGTTGTTCAATTCGCAAATATGTGAAAGTACATTCCGTGCAGCTCGATCGATGTCCGGTCCTTTTTCATCCGTTGTGAATTTTTCCGTTTACGAATTTCTTCAGCGAGTCGAAAAACTCGCTGTTCTTCAAAACATCAAATGCTCCTCCGAATATAAAAAAAATAATATAATATTTCCTACTCATCACAAACAATCTAAACAAAATTTTCTAACGCATTCGACATCCACGGTCGCAATCACAATTACAGAGAAACTGATTGAAGAAAAAGTGTTTAGTGCATATATTAAAGCTAGTCAAATTCTATCTGGTTGTGAATTTTCTATTCTTAACCCTAACGATAATATGATATCTTTCGAAGAAGTGAATCGTTTAGCTTTCAAAAGATTATCAAGATCAAAATGCACAACTTCTAAAAGAAAAGCTGTTCAATTAAATAATGATGAAGACGAAAATGAAGACGATGATGATGAAGAGGAAGATGAAGATGAAGATAATAAACAATACAAATCTAAAAAGCAATCTAATGAAAAAGATATCGTAAATGAATCTGATGAATCAAGTTCTATCGATGATTTTGATCTTGATATTCTTCCGAATGTATCTAGTTCCACTATTCGAGGAATGCGCATTTTTGATTCCATCGACCATTCTCAATCTGACTCTTTTTTACCCGTTGAGGTGAATGGTCGTGTCAAATACATGCATAAGCAGACTGCAAACTGGTATTTTTCAAAAACTAAACCTATATTATCTTCTGATCGATTGAAACGGGTTCAGCAGGCAATATAATTTTTTTTGTATCTTCTTTCTTCCATATATTATATTATTACTTCACTAAAGAAAAGAAAAGTATGAATATCCCTTTATTCAATTGTTTCAGAAAATGAACTTATACGTCTAGTCGATCTCGCTTCAATAGTCAAAATTTTTGATTAAAAAAATGCTTAGAAGGAAAATGAATAGATTTACTTATTTAGATATAAAATTTATAATGTACAAATATTCGTTAAAAGTAAAGTTAATTTATCGCGAAATATATCCTTATCTTTTCTTGTATTCTAACTCATTGCTTCAGCAATGACGTTACTAATCGTCCTTCATTCAGTTTAGGAAGAAATCTGAATAAAATAAATATAAATTCTTCAAATGTCAATTATTCGTTGCATAAAATATAACAGCCATGATAAATACAAACTTTCAGCTACAAAAGTGAATCATACACATAACTTCGAATCACAAAAACTCATTTTAGATCATCAAACTCATTTTAGATCACAAAACTCATTCTAGATCACAAACTCACAACTAGTAGTTTCCCCCTTGTTCATATCTGAGTTGCAAAAATAAAATGATAATAGTTTATTTTTCGGCGTATACTAGTAATAGCCTATTTTTTATTTACTTTATCTCTTCTATCTTTATAGATGAGGTGTTCTCTGCATCGTTTCACTTCCGTACGGTATGTTTAGCATTTGTATCAATATCTACGTAGCTAAAAGCTTTAGGAGAAGGAATGTTTACAAATACCTATAAACAGTCTATTTTTTCCCCTCAGATCTAACTTGACTTTTGTTAAAGCTTCCGTTCATACAACGGATCAGGCCACGACAAAAGTGCTTGAAATGGTACGAAATTTTTGGTTCAATATTATGTCATGAAAAACAGATACATTGACTGCAAAAAAAAGCCAGCATTATGTGAAAACTTCATTTGATTCAACATATAGAGAGATTTTATTAAAATCTTACCTTGTTGCCGGTTTTTTTTAGAAAAATTATAGTTTCGGATTTAACATAAAGCTTGGTATTGATCGAGAGCACAATTAATCAAAGAATCTTCTTGAAATTTTCATTCTGCTTTTGATAATCTGTTGTCTAAGGATGCTATTGTGTGTTCTAATAGTAGTATCCAAACTATTTGAATGATTTTCGAGCTTTCATCAAGCTATTGGATATTGAATATGTCTATTTTATACAGACGCCTGCAGCAGAACTCATACTACCGAATGATCATCTGAATGTTGGTGCATATAAAACTTCTTATTAAAATTTACGAAGCTGCAATGAATCTCTCAAGATGTAAAGCTTGCATAAAAATATGTTAAACATGCCATCTACAGAATAGGACGAAAATCTTACAAGTTTCACATTTTAAAGTGCATTTGCTCAAAAGTTCTGGGATTGTCCTATGAAGTCTACCATAGATGATTTCTCTGTTTGGGCAAAGGTTCATGACAAGATGAGAAAATATAAATTTTCTCATCAATTGGGATCCTACTAGAATATATCAATAGAATGTGTCTACTATCTCAATGAACTCACAAAAAAAAGGTGGGCTCAAGTCATCTTGACTTTTTTCTAGCTATCAAAGTTGCTATTAATGAACGAACGATTGGGCCAAAAGTAGCAAATCACTTCTTATGATTCTCTGTTTAAATTTTATTTTTCTAAAATAGATTCCAAATGCAACGCAAAATAGGGACAGAGCAAACAACAACACAAATTCGAAATAGAGAGGAATTCTGAATAAAAATGTGTAAGACGCCAACTTTTATTCTGCCTTTCGATGTAATATTGGTAGGAACGATGAACTAAATTAAGAACTCATTCTCGATAATGAATACCATTCTATTATAAATTATACTCATACAGTGTCATGACTAGTTCGCCCTCTTTTCGAACAGAACTAAAGTAACGTTGAAAGTGTTATCTTAATCAGTAGGACTGTAACAGGCGTATTCATTATATTGTTAGTGGATATTCTCATGTTTTTGACATTCCGTTCGATGTTAACTTTGCTTCGTTTACAATTTTCACAATCGTCTATTTTTTCTAACGGTAGTTACATTCATCAAAAATATCTAGAGCTTCGAGAAAACTTGAATCATTTTTTACCATAAACATTTAATGTGTTATTTTCTTTAGTTTATATAACTCAGTCGTTTAAAAAGAATTATTAATTGTTAAAAATAAACATAAAAACATCATTATATGCAAGTATATTCACATCCTGAGTAACCAGCATTCACTTCCATATCATATCCACGCATACTCTTGATAGTCTAAAACAAATGGCGATGATTTGCCTGAATTTCAGCCAATGAGATGACAGCTAATGGTCTCATATAATATATTCTACTTGAATTTCATCGATATTTATCCTGTTTCAAATAGAGAAGAAAAATGCTAGCTATTCTCTTTAGCAATAGAATCAAATATATAAATTTTTTGAATAATCCGTCTATCATTTTAAGCAAATTCGTGATTGCCAATAGGACAGAGAAGAAGAATTTCTTCATAAAAATCAAAGGGTCATGGATTCAATTTTTTTGAGATAAATGACACTCAATCCGATTTTATTTTATTCGTGTATTAATGTAAAGGTCACATCAAACGAAGAAAGAAATCTTTCATTAAATATCAATTTAATTCTTATTTGCAGTAACATGATTGATAGATGTTATATTATTACATTTAAATAAAGTTACTTCAGTAGATTTTTTAGTATGTGGTAATGGCTTGAAAGCTGTTAAAGTACACTCTTGTTCTTCGCCAACAATAAATATTAAATGTAAATTCGTACCAGCAACTATTTGTATTTGGCTATCAAGTACTCGAATAGTTTTATTCGCTAAAGTTGTGTTAGATTGTAATTGTTGACGTGCTAAATCTACCATTTCAGTCTCTAGTTCACCATGATAATTTGTGTTCCATCCACCCACAATCTGATTCGAATAAACATAATCAAGATAAATTGTGCCAAGCGTTACTATCAACATCAATTGATAAGTCAACATTTTCAGCAAAACTTCTGTCGTCGAGCTTGAGAAATAACAAATATATAATATATGAAACGATAACAAAGGACACATCTGTGACTTGAAATTAATTCGAAGTCAATATTTTCTTCCTTTATTTTCATTTGGTTTTTGCATATTAAATACGAATTCTTTTAACTCATCTAATGTTTTTCAAGAATAAATTATATTGACTTTATAAGTTTTAAATAGAGACACCTGAACAGCTCATTGCAGCTATGGGGTCATTCAATACGTTTTCATTTCCACGAAGAATATCAGAGATCTGACTAATTTATTATAGTTCTTTAGCAGGAGACAAGGCATCAAAAAGTATTGATATTACAATTTCAAAGTCTTACTTGAAAATCGATTAATGCGAGTACACTGTTTCGTATTGTCGTGAATAAAACTTACATTCAAGATATTAATGATACTGGACAATGATACATCGATTTGTTATTGTTGTCTTATGATCAATACATTGCTTACCAATATTGTTGTTATCGATGGTTAGAAGCTTATCGGAATATGAACAAGCTTGTCGATACCTGCTGTAGATATAAAGGATGTGTTCAAAAAGATTTGTTTATCAGTTAAATGGACAGTTGCAAGATGAATAATAATGGTTAGTAGAGACAATACATAAGCAGCAAAAAGAAACAACGCACATAAAAAATAGGACCAAATGAATTTCTGCTTATGCAATATTGATCAGAGTAAACACTTCTAAATGATATATTTATACCTATATCCATATAATCAACTGGGAATAAATGCAAAAGATTGAGCCTATCTTAATATGCACACAAACACAAAAATGGTGGAATGTTTGTAAAATTGGGTGGGACTGAGTTTAAGTTTATTTACGATCCTCGCATATGAGCATGAAGCTGCTCGAAGAATTTCAAGTGACATGCCATTTTAGCAATGAGTAAATCTTGATGTAATCATAGACGTTCTAAATGTGTTTTTCATTCGATTTAATGTATAAAGAGTTCTTTCAGCAGTTGCAATGGTAATCTTTATAGTCATGTAGAGTCGAATGGATTCATATAAAATTCTGGAAAGATTTGTTTACCAATATTATATGTATTTCAGATTTCACAAAAAGTAGTAATTTTCGTGATTTATCTTATTTGCAACTGGTTTCTATTAATTAAAATGGAAAGAATGTCGGAATTCATAAATACTGCAGGTTTCAATTTTTCAAAATCAATATCATCATGAAAACAAATCTGTACCTGTTTTTTTTTATCATCAAATGACTCATTAGGTATATTACGAACAATTTTTTCACCATCGCATGATAAGTTGTTGTTTTTTTTGTCTAAATCAAACAGGTAGTATACCAATAATCATTTTAAAAGATACACCCAAATGTTTGTAGAGTTTGATTTGTACCTTGAATACATTAAAAAGAATGAATAACTGCGCCAGCGGTACATAAAAATATCTGGTAAAAAGCAATCGTAAGTTTCAGACGCATGTGAAAGTTTTCCTTTATCTGTAAATATTACAATGGCCTAGTTTCACTTCAAACATGAAATAAAAATTGTTCCTTGGTGCAAGTAAACCATTTGCTTTTATACCAACACTATTTTTTGTCAATAATTCTATACAGTGAGTGTTGAACTAAAAATCAATATGAATTTTTCGAATATTCGAGTTCTATCTAAATAGAGTATTTTTTATTATTTCTACAAATAATAGTTTATATACTCAAAACATCAATGATTATAGTTTATCGAGATATAATACACTGAGTATGCTCAATAGGTATGTATTGAAAACGGCGAAAGAAAAAATGTCGAACATATACAACGTCGAAAATTGTGAGATATCGTCATAAAAAATAATTGATTTTATTTTATTGTATTTTCTATTTTTCATTAGAATTTCGTTGATTAGCTAATAGTTTTCTTCAATAAGTAATTTTCTGAGCGAACATTCTAGAATGTAGTACAGATAGGAACTACAAAAGAGCAAAGAATACAATCACAGCATTGTTGTATGATCTTCTATATATTTCGCTCGCTTTTAGATATTGCAGTACAGTTTTGCAGTATTATCACTAAATTCTTTCGACTGTTCAATGCCCACTAATACGAGTGCTATATCTTTTCTTGATTCTAACAACGGTTATTGACAATCGATTCGGAATAATTTTTTTTATAAACAATAAAAAAAACATCTTCGCAGATATATTAGAGCTAGAAAACTAAGAATTACAAAGTCAAGGTTTATACTGATTCAGATAACAATTTTTTAACTTGAAAGGTCAGCGTACTCGTTAGGCAGACACCAAATACAAAACGTTTGGTTTTGATATAATTTTGGTTGTGAGATTTGGTTTTGATTTGAGGTTTTATTTTTCTTTTTGACATATGCCGAAAAAGATTATATTTTCAAACCAAAACCCTCCAAACCAATTTTGGTTTTGGTGCATGCCTAATAATCATCTACTTGAACCAGAAGATCTTGAAGTTCAATGCTTTCGAAATATTCTTAAAGGATTGCTTTTTTTCGACATTTTTTCTTTCGATGTTATCACATCCATTCGCTCAATAGGCTGGTTTTTCATTTAATTTAACGATTTAAAAACAAATAATCAAAGCGAATTAAGAAAATAATTAAAAAACAAATAGTAACAAACCCATCAGATGATTTTCCTTTATGTTTGATTGTCCCTGAAAAATAACTGCAATATGTTAGAGATGTTTCGCTTTATCTATTTTCTATCAGTCTAATTAGTTCCACATTCTAGGTACCAAGTTAATGTATAAAAATGACTTTTATTTTGTTTTAGTGATTAAATTATTCTATTAAAAAAATTATTTCATAAATTATGCAGATAACCATTTATTTTTGCAACTTAATTTCAGTTTTGTTTGAAATCAATTTCATCTTGTTTTGTTTTTCTTCTATATTGCATATTGTTCTAAGAGAAGCGCGTTGCTTTTAGGGGACGGCGGCAAATTTTATATGCGTGCACAAACAAAGAAAAAAAAAGATGCAACAGAAAGAGCTTTACGTGATACAACAAAGCATTACAAAAGTGTAAAATAGGAGAAAAAAAGAAGTGAGATAAAGGGCAATGAGTCAATATGTTTATTTGTCTTGTGGCTTTATTAAAGTTGTGGTCGTGGTTCAACAATAAGACGAGCTGAGCAATCGGATGACCCAGCTGCATTTGAAGCCGTACATGTGAATAAACCTTGATCTTCCATAAATACTTCTGATATATATAATAAACTACGATTTCCTTCAGTAAAAATCTATTAGTAGGAGAGAAAAAGAGAAAAAAAGTAAGTATTGTAAGTTTCTATTTTTATTTTCAAATAAAAAATGAATTTACTTGAAAGTCAGGCGAATCTCGTATGAGTTCTCCACCACGATACCATGATAAGGCTGGAGCTGGATCGCCGCGTACTTCAACTTCAAAACGTACTGGTTCACCTTCATAAGTAGTTAAATTACTAAAGCCGCGAACAAATTCTGGTACTTGCATTGTATCTGGTTCGAAAATTTAAAAAAAATCATACTTTAAATGATATTAAATTTAACAGTCAACTTACGATCAACTTTTAATGTAGCAGTACTAGCAGTTGTTCCAACTGGATTTGAAACAACACATTTATAGAGTCCTAGATTTAGAAGAAAAAAAATGGTTACATAATTAATCTTTTTATCGTAAAGATGAAAAACAAATCTAACCTGCATCTTCAGCATATGCTTCTAAAATAAATAATTGATGTTTAGTTCCATCAGATTTTGGTTTAAAGAATTTAGATGGTTTTATTGCCCATTCTGATGTTCCTTTATACCATTTAACATCCGAGCCTGTTAAGAAAAAACAAAATAATTGGTTGATTTTCGCTTTTAATTTTAATTTTAATTTTCATACCAAAACTAGCTGGTATAATGCATTCAAATGTAGCTGATTGTCCTTCTTTGACATGCAAATCTTCTAGTGGTTTTTCTAGATAAGGTACTTTATGTATGAGTTTTGGATCGTCAATTAATGAAGCTTTCTTGCCACCAGATCCTCGTGGTGTTACAGTTAATGTGAAACGTGTATTAGCTTTCCCAACTGTATTTCCAGCAACTGCTTCATATTGACCGCTATCAGCTGGTAATGCTTCGAATATAAGTAATGTAAATACATCATTTTCTTGTATGACACGAAAACGTTTATCATTAAGATTAACGGGTTCATCTTCCTATAAAAAACAAAACATTTTATTTAATGAACACCAAATCACTAAAAGTTTTTGCATTACTCGATAGAAGGAAACTGTTGGAAATGGTTGACCTTCAACACGACATTGAAAACGACCTGGATCACCGGCAAGAATTTCAGTATCATTTGGAACATCGAGAAATCGTGGTGTTTGATCCTCAGCAATAACTATGAATATAGAAGAACAGTAATTAAGCTCGAATACAAATTATTAATTTCTATTAAAATATACTTGGCACAATACGCATAGCAGCTTGACATTGTCGAATACCAATTGGATTAAATAATTTAATAGTATATAAGCCAGAATCAATAATAAATGCATGCTTAATGGTAAGTGTACTTTGTGTAGCTGTTGTATGAATTTTGAAATCTTCTGAATCTTCAACCATGAAACTATCACGATACCAGGACACAGTTGGTGCTGGATCACCAGTAAATTCAACACTAACAACAACTTTCGATCCCTCTATGCATTTGGAAAAAAAAGAAAGTTTTGTAAAATTATTTCGAAAACGAATCTGTACGAAATGTTACCTTTAACTTTTAATGGTAACAAAGGCTTGGTAAAGTTTGGTGCATCACCAGTTTTTTCGACAGTTTGACGCCATGCCATACGATCGGCGGCTTTTGAATGTAGTGGATGCAATAATTTATCAGCTGATGGACGACGCATTCGATCATCAGCTAGAAAATAATAACAATAATTAGTCTATTTTTCAAAAGAATATTCCCATTAATGTATCTTTATTTTAACCAGGAAAAACTTTATGGAGTAGAGAGAAGATCTCAAGAGAAATGTTTTGTAACGATTGATTATTTTCTTCAAAGATCTTCCTGAACTATTTCATTCTATGTGGAAAAAAACGGAGCACTGTCAGAATATTATTAACAAACCTGATTCTTTCTGTCGAACTTGTGAGCGCACTCTTAATCTTTCTTCAATGTCAAGATCGAATGAATCTTCTAAGCCAGTATCGATACCACCTGGTGTTTTTGATAGAGCCGAGCGATAATCTTGTCGAAATCTCAAATTAAGTGTAGCAACACTTTCAGCTTGGCCAAGAGAATTTTTCGCTGTACAACACACTGTTCCAGCATCATATTGTCTTGTTTTTGGTATATCAAGATAATGAACTAGGCCATCATAAATTAATTTATATCGACTACCCTATTAAAATAAAGCAATAAATACTTTAGACGAGAAGTCTTGCGTTTTCTTTTTGTTAGTTACATTTGCGATATCAGCATTATTGATTGTCCATGTTAGTCTTGGACGTGGATGTCCATCAATTTTAACAATAAATTTAGCATTATCACCTTCGTCAACAGTTAGATCTTCTAATGGCATAATGATTTCTGGTGCTTTTGGTTCTTTTTCTTCGACTTTTTCTTCTAATCCAATCATATTTGATGTATATCTATGGAGAACATCACAATTTCGTTTAGTCAAAAAGAAAAATAATTTTCATGCTTTTTTTTGTTCATACCTTATTTCATCTTCTAACATTTGTAATTTCGATACACCTTCCATACCTTCTGGTAATTGTGTATTATAAATGATAGATCGTTTAGGACGACATTTCAATTCAGCACGAGTACGATCTTCACCGTATGGATTTGTAGCAACACATTCATAGATACCATCATCTTCAGCAAATGTCCATAGAAATTCAAGTGATACATCAGCAAAATCATATCGAGGAACGATTCTTGATGCTATTTAAAAAAGTAGATTAAATTTTTATTTTGTTTGGTATCATAAAGTCTATCTATTGTGAAGCACAGTCTAAACGGACTTTTGCAGTAGAATAGTAACAAATCAAATGAAAGACTTTGAAGACTTCCGTTAACAGAAAGATTTCAAATGCCAATTTATTTTTATTACTATTTAAAACGTTAGGATTTCTCTATTTTATGAATAAAGTTTCAAAAATACTTCCATAGAATTCAACAAGATGGTTACATGAATGTAGTTGTCTAGAGAACGTTTCTCATATCTGTTAGCAGACAATTTTTCTCTAATTAGAATAAAGTTCACTCTCTTTCTTGGATAAGTGATAGTTTCTACGTTGTTTTTCACATTTTTATGCATTAAAAATTATATTGAAAGGTTTGTTTTTACCATGATGAAGAATCTTTCCATTTTTAAACCATTGTACACGCATCATTGGATCGCGTACAGGTATTAATTTCGCTTCAAACATAGATGGATCATCTTCATTTAAATTTAATTGAGATTTAATATGAACTTTAAATTTCGGTGGCTGTGGTCGATCTTTACTGTACATTTCTTCTTCAGGATATTCTTCTAAATTCTTTTGAAGTGCTGCTAGAACTTCATCAGGTAGTACTTTAACGCCTCGTCTATATTGAAAACAAAGAACGATAAATATTTAGCTATTGTATTTATTGTTTATATGTATTATTTTTACTTTCGGGCTTCTTCAGCTGGATTATCAAGTTTCTTAGAACGTCTTGGTAATTTATATAACTCTTCAGGTTTCACCTCTGGAGGTTTAACAGGAACAGTCATGTATTTCGATCGAATATCTTCCTCCGGTAGACTAAAAGAATATCAGCGAAAATAAGAAAACAAAATTCATTTTTTATACATACACTGGTAATTTAGCAAGACTTTGAGGCCCAAGTTGAGGTAAATCAGCTGCATATTTACCAGCTTCGGATAATGCTAGAAGGAAAACAAAGAATTTATGTATATTAACAAAAGAACATTATACACATTCAAGTTTATAAATGAAGTTTAGAATTTTAAGGGTAAGATATTTCCTATTGATTGCATACATATTAATTTAGCAGTTTTAATGTTGAAAAACTATTTTTTTTTGTTTTCTGATGATATTATGAAAAGTTAATCAATGTACAATGGTTTAAAAGTAAAGATATTTTTCTATTTGAATTTTTTGTGTAATTTAAAATTTATGAAGAAAACTGTTAAATTCTCAGAAGTTAAGATATATATACAGAGAGAGAGATTTAATACATACGAATAACTGTCACTCTGCATTTTGTAATAGCCGTTCCAGCTGGACTAGTTGCTGTACATTGATACCAGCCAGCATCTGTCATCTTAGCTTCCCGTATATATAATGTAGTTTTAGCTCCTTCATATTCAACTCTGAATAGAAATAATTCAACCAATAAATGAATAAAATTTTTAAAAAGAAAAGATAATTTTACTTGTATTCCTTATTAGGAGTAAGAGGTCGACCCTCTTTCTCCCACGTGACTTTTGGTTCTGGAAAGCCTTGTGCACAAGCATCTAATGGTGCATCTTGACCTTCAATAATAGTTATATCATAAAGTTGTTCAATGAAGAAAGGAGCAATATTTGAACCTCGTTCTAAAAGAAATCAACCGTTTTTTTTATTTTTTTTTTGAATACTGAAATAAATTAAAAGCAATTAACATACCAACAACTTTAAGATGAACAGGAAATGATGCTTCACCAAATTTATTCTTAGCTACGCATGTATATTCAACAGGTGGTCCTAATTTTGGATTACGTATAAGTAATGAATGAACGCCTCCTTCATTAACAACATCACAATGATCAGCATCATCTGGTCGTAGTGGTTGACCATTACGATACCATGTTAAACTAGGTTCAGGACGTCCAGCAGGTACATAATATAGACGTACTAATTGTCCTTCTGGTACTTCTTGATCAACAGGAATTTTAATAAAATACGGTGGTTGTCCGTCAGTTGAATCAACTGGTTTAAGTGAAGGCTCAGTTGCAAGATTCGATGGTTGCTGTGGTATTTTTCTTAGACCAGCGAATTTAGCAAGTGGATGCTCTTCAACGTTGGCTGTTGGCTGAATTTTTAATTTACATTTTGTTGAAACTTCTCCAGCAATATTTCGAGCAACCATTGTATATTCTCCCGAATCAGCTGCATAAACTGGATAGATAGTTAAACGCACAATACCAGTTTTAAAATCGTATTCAGGCGTAAAACGTTGAGATACCATAAGTGGACGACCATCTTTTAACCACATTATCTAAACAAAGTATATTATAATAAAAAAAAAGAATATTTCTTGCAGAGAAAAAAAATATATATATACCGTTGCTCCTGGATGAGCATCAACTGAACAAAATAGTTGTGCTGCTTTTGCTTCATCGATGACTTGATCTTCAAGTTCTTTAACTAATCGAATCCATGGTGTTAAATTTTCACGATTTTTCAATGAATCATCAGGTTGAAGAATTGGCCCACGAGGACTAATGCCTGGTGAACGTTGTGGTCCTTCAAATTTACCAAATTTACTTGGTTCAACAAATGGTCGATCATCGACTCCTGGCGTTCCTTCAATATTTACTTCACCAGTTGTTTGATCTTTGCCAACAATATTTTCAACGTGAACTGTATATCGGCCAGTATCAGTTGATGGACGTGCAGAATCAATAAATAACGATGCTGTACGTGTATTAATATCAAAATTTGCACGATATCGATTAGATTCGGCCAATGGACGATTATCTTTGAGCCATGTAAATTTACCCATGGGATAACCGGCATCAACAATACTTTTCAATATAATCGGTTGAGATTCAGTGAGACGAACATTATTCATAGGTACAAGAACTTTCGGTGGACGAAGTAATTGATTTTCATCGTCTACATTTTGAGCGGTTCCCGGTCGATTTTCTAATGGACGGAACCGTGCAGCATCAACGAATGGTCGCGTATCAATTGAAGCTACTGGACGAATAGTTAGCTTACATGTTGTTTCATCACTGCCAACAGGATTTGTTGCACGAACTGTATAAACTCCTTGATCATCAGGACGCGAAGCAAGAATTTGTAATGTAATTGTTCGATTGACGATATCATAGTTTGTCGTAAATCGATTTCCTTCGAGGAGTGGTTGACCATTTTTATGCCAAGTGAACTAAAAAAGAAATTATATTAAGTATCGACTCAAATTCCATTCAAAATGTACGCGACACAACTTACTGATGCCATTGGTACTCCAGGATCAATTGTAGCTGTGAGAATCACCGGCATTAATTCTTCTAATTCACAATTACTCAATGGTACAATAACACGTGGAGGACGCATTACTTCGGGAGCCAGTTCTTCTTCTGGTCTTATCGATGGAGGAACATGATTCAAATTACGGAATTTATCGGGCGATACAAATGGTTGAGTATCAACACCAGGTACGATTGCGATCGGACGTCGTCCTTTACCCTGTGGATGTTCGAGATCACGAAATTTATCTTGTGGGACAAAAGCGCGATCATCAACACCAGGTTTGTCTGGTACAACACTCAATGAGCATACAGTTGAATCTTCGCCAGCTGGATTAGTTGCAATGACTACGTATTCACCAATATCTTGAGGACGAATATCGTTTATTTGTAGTAGAACCTGTTTGGTACCGATATCGTATCGAGTACGTAGACGATTAGATGCTGGTAATGGAGCACCATCTTTCAACCATACAAACTACAAGAAAACAAAAACAAAATTAAGATTGCCATTGTTTACAGAAAAGTCTTACATCAGGCGTTGGTCTTCCAGTAATAGTGGCCTGAAGAAGAACAGGTGATCCTTCAGTGACTTGTTGGCTTTGCAAAGGTACAATAACTTTTGGTGGTTCCATTTTATCCATATCTTCTTTGGTTGGTGGTGGTGCTTTGACTTCCAATGGTGCAAAACGGTCTGGTTGTATGAAAGGACTTGTATCGATGGAAGCAACAGGTCGAATAGTTAGCGTACATGTTGTCTCATCACTACCAGCAGGATTTGTTGCTTGAACTGTGTAAGTTCCTTGATCATCAGGGCGAGCAGCAAGAATTTGTAATGTTAATACTTTTGAGTAGATGTCATATTTAGTAGTAAAACGATTTCCTTCAAGGAGTGGTTGACCGTTTTTATACCAAGTAAACTAGAAATAAAAATTCAGTTTTATTTAGTCATTTAATAAAAGAGAATTCGAGGGAAAGAGGAAAGAACGCAATGTGTGCACGGCAACAGATCGTTCTTCACAAATCTAATACTTGAATCTACAATATTTTATTCTATACTTTGGCAACTTTTAAGTATAATTTAGTAGTTGAAATTTATGCTGCTGAAGATCACTTGTTGACTGCTAGTGTCTGTTGATGACTATGTTATGTCAAGTAATCCTGTGTTTGTAGACTGTGCTTATGTAAAGGTTTACAAAGACTGTGTAACAGCGTTTACTGCTTTTATTGATATTCGTTTTTGTTCTAATTAATTGTAAGTTTCGTTTCGACTTGTAGTATAGCTTTGGTCAGTTAGATTATATAAGATAGGACGTTTTATATGTATATATATTTCGAATAAATGCATATTATCCTTTTATGGCATAGTACGTTGACTTCTTCGTCTCTTGTAGACATCAATGTTTGATTGTTTTTGTTTATATTTTCTGCATGAAATTCTTCCTAATATTCAATTAAGATCATTTCATCAGTGGTTCCACGATAATGTTAGTGCGAAGTATTTTTTTAATTTCATGGTAATTGACTTTAGTATGCTAAAAGTTATTCAAAACAATTCGTCCATTATTGATCCAGGCCACATCTATCTCATGTAAAAAAAACTTAAGTTGAAATACAGGTGGCAAAACTACTTTAATATTAAATGACAAATTTTCATATAATCAGTGGAAAATATGATACCAACGCTGCAAATGAGGAGATACCAGCTAATCGAAAGCCAATAAAATATTTTTTGAGTGCGAAGGAACCATAGTAATTTGAAACTTGCGCTTATTCGAACCATACCTATACTATTGTAAGTCTATACTTCATGTGTGGATCTATTTTTCGATATTGAGCACGGCACAATAACATAATTGGCGCTGAAGTGCGTTAAATCAGCTACCGGACGCGAAATCTTAAAGAAGTGCAAGGCATCCAAAAATCAATCGACAGTGGTACTCCATTCTTTACAAAGCGTGGAACACAATCCCTATTACATACTTCACATCACCATAATTCAAATGCTGTAGGTTCCTCCTAGATTTCTCCTATATGGCCAACCCGGTGACCTACTATTATCTACTAATCAACCACGCGGATAAATCGTCAGACAAAATCGTCTTGTTCTTCTTTTGGACAACTACTCTAAATTTGCATGTCACTAAATCGAACTGACTCGATGAAACTCAAAAAAATACCCTAGCGATATCTCATCAACTATTGGCATTATGTGATTGATCTATAAGGCGACGATGCTCTCAAAGATTTCACCAACTGTTCACAATTTAAGCGGTAATAAAAAAAACCGTACTGAAGCCATCGGGACACCAGCATCAATTGTGGTTGTAAGTAACACAGGCATGAGTTCTTCTATCTCACAGTTACTCAATGGTACAATCACATGTGGCGGACGCATTGCTTCAATTGGTACTTCTTCTGGTTTCACCGAACTTGGTACATGATCCAAATTACGGAATTTATCGGGTGACACAAATGGTTGAGTATCAACACCAGGTACGATTGCGATCGGACGTCGTCCTTTACCTTGTGGGTGTTCCAGATCGCGAAATTTATCTTGTGGGACAAAAGCGCGATCATCCACACCAGGTTTGTCTGGTACAACATTCAGAGAACATCTAGTTGAATCTTCGCCTGCTGGATTGGTTGCAATGACTACGTATTCACCAATATCTTGAGGACGAATATCGTTTA